CACCTCTCTTCACACACAGATGCAATTAACTGTTTGTAGTCAGAAATACAGTTCTCTACAGTAAGTACATATGCATGCTTGTACTTTTCAGAGGTCCGATATTGTTCTATGTACAATCCTTGTTTTATTGATTGCATGTAATAATCTACTTTTTTGAGGTTGTGGATTTGGGGTTCTTGGGGTTTTCATGAGCTGTAAGCCATAATCATCACAATTATGACAAATCACGGCTTGAATTATCTTGCTTTGCATGTAATGAGTCTATCTCATATATTAGTTTTACCTTTTAAGTTGCATTAGTGAAATAAATGAACTTTGCACGATATTCTAATTATTCGAGTTTCACCTGTATATATATATATAGGGGCCACACTAGGAAAGTATGAAATTGTGCATACGGTTTTGCTGCAGCATGCACAGATAAAATGGAAATATTTTGTTGTCACACGGTAACTTTCCTGATTCTTTTTCATGTATGCAAAAAACATTTTTCAAGTTCACCTTCTGCTGTTTGCAAAAAATGCAACAAAGGCTACACTTACTTAACATTAGAAGCGGCTGCAAGGATGTTAGAACACAGTAGAACTGCATAGTAGAACTGGCTGCAATATGCACCATCTAGTGACTTAAAAAGGAGGGCGGAGGTGCCAACTAGTGCCTCGACAGATGTAATCTGTAGATTCTTTAGGGTAAACTGCCCACAAAGCTACAGTACTTCAGGTTGAATGAGTCTTCATTTCTGCCAAGAGAGAAAGTCTCTGGAGCTGGTAAGCCTGTGTTCTCATTCTTATCATATTTTCATACCGTTATTCTGTAAAATACATGCTCCATCAAGATATTGTTCTTTATTTTATAATTTTATACTATGGTCAACAATTGTCATGTTTGTTACTCAGCTTCTATTTATAATAATTTATGCATAGACTTTTGCAAGGAGAGATCTAAAAACACTACAAACCTGCCCTGAAAGTCTTTTGATATTAGAGAAATAATTTGCAGTTCTCCAGGACCATTTCAGTTCCAATACCTGTGTTTAGAGTGCAACAATTGCAAAACATATTTACAACATATGTACCATATAATTCTTAGCAGTTGTCTGGTTTAAACCTTTCACTGCCAGGCCCTGTGTTCCACGTTTGGCTTCAGCTGGCCAGACCATTTATTACATTTTCAACTGCTGCTTTTACAGCTTGTAAAAGACCTCCCAAATCATACATTTCCTGAAGGCAGTAGTTTATCAAATCAATATTAAACTGATAAAAATAAGAAAATGAAATGAAAGTATCTAAATTTTACCAGAATTGGGTCACTAATAAAGGAAAATGAAGTCCCGGGCATTAATTGGCTCCAGTTTCCAAGACACAGCTTCAGGTCAAACTTGCATCAAAATAATTAAAAATTACGAGAAGGATGTGCGATTATGCTCCATAACTTTCCATCCATTTATTGTTTTTTCCTGACATCACTCTGATTATAGATTACTAAGAGGTTCCACTTTTGTAATCTGGAGCCCAGTAGCTCTGCCTTACTCTTTGGCAATTCCAAATCCCTGACCAGGTTAGTTTACTCTGTGAAATTAGATGTGGTTCAGGAGGAGCATAGCATACGGTGGGCTAAAGTTTGTGTCCTCTGACATCGACGGCCCCAGATCAGCTGCATCATGCTCATCATCTTTATTATCATCTGAGTCTAGAGAGTAGGATTCTGGTGGATCTGGAATAGGCAAGGCCTCACCATGGGGTACACAAGGGTGTGCAGATGGAATGTTTGGATTACGGCCACTTCTTCGTTCTTGAGATCAATTTTCCAATTAGGTGAATCATGTAAAAATACCAGTTGCTACTATGATTGGTGGGTTCCCTCCACACTATTGGGACTGCGAAAGCCATGGACTTTTTCTTCTTGTTTAGCCAATGACGCAGATAAGTTGCACATGTAATGCAACAATAATGAGGGACCCAACTCTTCTCCTGATCCCCTATTTTGCATCAAAAATATAGGTGGTATGCCTCTTTTACCACTGCCCTCATACTGCACTTTTGAGATGCAAATGTAACCTCGCCACAAATGTAGCAGAAGTTATCTGCATTGTTTAGTTTCAAGGCATCTTGGCTTCTGAGGGCAAATATCACGCAACTGATCCTTGGAAATGTTAGGCAATGATACTTTCACAAGCCATCCGATGTAACTGTATGATGTGTAGATCTGACCAAGACAAATGTACCTTGCAATAAAATAACAAAACATTACAGTTGGGTAATAATCGTTAGTCCCAAAGTGAAGATAAATGTATACACTTCCATTTGGTACCATTTTCATTGTTCTAGCGTACTTTGTTGAGAAGTTACGAGGCATCATGTTCATCAGACACCTCCGTCCCTTGTAGGCAAATATACTCGCCTGTGTATAAATCTTGATGTAAGCACTTCCTGTTCATTCATAACTGGGAACAAAGTAAGCTTACTATGTGCTCAGTTATTTACAAACACATGGAAGGATCAGCAAATATTTTGCATATTTGTTGATCCTCCGCTCGGCATCCTGAACTGCTGGGCTCACACAGCTCCGCTCTCCAACCTGGCAGTGGCTCTCTGCTTCCCACACAGCATCCTGACTGTCTCCTCTTTCTCCTCTGCCCCCCACCGGCTGCAGTGGTCTGTGTCTCTCTGATCCCCAATGCAGGTGCGGGAGAGCAGCGGGGATTGGTGGGGACACAGATATCCGAGGAGTGAAAGCCAGTGACGTAAGGCATACTGAGGTGGCCAACTGGAAACGGTTGTGTTCCGCCATATGCCTTACATCATTGGCAGGGAAAGTTTTAAAACTTTTGCCAAGTTTAAACATGTCTTTGGAAATTAGCTTGGCATTCAACCAATTCAACCAATATCTAATTAGACAGACGTGGGGGTAAACAACTTTGCTTTGATCCCAAACAGCGTATATTCAGTGGCCTGAAAATTAATAATTATTCATATACTTGGAGTCCAGTTACTGACTGTGGGTATGCTCCCCCTGGAGCAGAAGAGAACTTAGGTTATCTTCTGTATTTTTATCACTTTTATTTTAAACTACTTTGCTTCTATGTACAGTATGTGTTTTGTACATTTTTGTATTCTTTGTATGTACACGCTGCCCTCTTTTATACACAGATTCAAAGAGACAGAGTTAGCCTGTTATTGTATGTGCATACAGTACACTGGCCCAGTAGGTAGAATTGACTGGTATGGCTAACTTTTAAATGGTAGAGAAAGCAGTGTGTGTTTGCAAAAACATTTAAACTTGCTTCTTATCTGGTATTGTGAGTGGTAGTAGTTTGTGTGTGTGTTTTCTTGTGTCTGGATTGGAGTATTGCCGATCTTGTATTATTGGCTAGCATAGTAGTATTGTTTTGCAAATATTTTATTTTCTATATTTTATTGTCTGTTTAATCTAAAGACAAAAATATGCAACATAAGAAAATAAACGTTGTAGTTTAACCAGTGTTTGTGTATAAAACAGCTAATGTTATTGTATATAAAAAGTGACATGTATATTCTGCCATTTATATATTCAGTGGTGTCACAACGGGAATGCGGGGGGGTGAGGATTGCACCAGGTGACACCATCAGAGGGGGTGACACTAAAATGACTGACAGTTATTTTTTTGTCACCTCCACTGAAAAGTCGGGCACTCGGACATAGATCAAGAACCCGACAGTTGCGCGAGAGAGGGGACCCACCGGCATACCCTATCCCACCTATCCCACCATCTTGGCGGCGTCCATCATCAAGATGGCCGCCGGAGGTAACATGTGACGTCATTGCGCAAAGCTGCTCCAGTTGACACTAAGCCCCTGATAGATTGACACTAAAAATACATTTTTGGCATAAATAATTGCACAGTTATTTTGAAATGAAATACAAAACAAAACATTTAAAAAAGAAAACAATCTTGAGCAACTCATTTTTTGAGTGACCATCAGACGGGGATCACAAGCTTGGAGTTGACTGCATTTTTTAAATAAATAAGTACTGGGTGAAGATTGGCAGTCTGCGGCTGTTTTGTGGATTGGCTTAACTGATTTTTGCCATTGCAAAAATACACAATTTTAAATTCACATATATTTGTTTTTTAATGTAGTCTATAGAAAATAGTGTTTCAAATGAATGAACAATTCCTGAAATATATTGTTTTAATGAACAATTCCTCAACTATTGGCAGACATAAAATTAACAGTACCATTTTAATGTAATTCTAAAGTGTATAGGCCATACACTTTCAGAAAATATATGCTGGGGGGGTGGAGGTGATAGGCTTTAAAGTCTATGTGCATGTGAAAAATAGCCACCTTAGGTAAGAAAATAAAAACTGCTCAGAAACTAAAATGTTAACTTGACCTTTAATCAAGGTCAAGCTCTTTAATTTCTCTTTCAATATTTTTATTGTCTTCTAATGTAATAATAACAGTATTAGAATGTATTTTACAGTATTTTCAAGGTAACAAACCATAAGTCAATGTGCAAAGTTTTAAGCCAGAAATACAGGTTACCTTTGTAGTTTACATTATATAAGTACCGTTATATAACATTCTGTATTCAATCATCTCTACGCCTCTATTAAGTAAAAAGAAGATGATTTCTGTAGATAGAGATAATTCCGTGTCATATCTCTGTTGGTCATAATTTATCTTCTTTTCAGGGACATTTGTTAAGAACCATATAACTTATTTATGGAAAGAAGTAAAATTTCAAAAAGAAGGGGGCCAAACAGGTAAGAGAAAAGTCCAGGGATGGGGTACACCAGTGATTTCCTTCCCAGCCCAGGGCAGACTATACCTGCTGTGTAGGGGGAAGGGATTCAATATGTGCGATGAGGGTTGGACGATGGGATTTAGTCTTCAAAGCTTGCCTCACAAGCTTGCCTTTTTCCCATGGAGAGGTAATTCCTCCAGGGAACCCAGAACCTTTGGAAATATGCAAACCTGTCATTCAGTAGGGCAGATAATTTAATACACTCTATAATTTTTTGAAAAAATATGTTAGCAGGGTAATTCTAATGAAAACATCTTGAAGCTATGAATGTAAGTTTGCAATGTTGTCTTGAGCCTCGATCTTTCCCATCAATAAGAAGAAGCGGAGTGTTGCGGAAGAAGTCGATGATTTCAGGCACTGAGTTAAAAGTCTGTTGGGTGACAACAAGTAATTATTTATTTTATGTAAAACTAACAGGGATATTCACAAAAGGGCGAAGAGTTTGGAGAAGGCAGGAGAAGTGAACAATCTGGGACAACACAGCCAAACTGGAAAGTGAGCTGAATTGGAGAGTTTTTCCAAATCAGCTATGTCGTCCTAGATTGTTCACTTCTCCTGCCTTCTCCAAACTCTTCACCCTTTTGTGAATAACCCGGTAAATAAAACTTTTATTCATAACATGGCATATCTTTAGAGCACAGTTCACTATAATACTGGCTTGTATTGTCTCTTGAAAGCAAAGGAAACTAATTTGAATTTATAAAATCACAGTCACACATACAATTCACTTATCACTAGACCTGCTTTTCTAGGATCAACCATATAATAACCAAGAGCTTACAGTATTAATACTAATGCTTTTGCTGGATGCTGAGAAATGTTTTTAGTTTTCTCAATTGTTAAATAAAGTTTTACTTCTGATCTTTCCCACATTTCCCATAAACTTACATATTCACTTACATTTTGTCTGTAATCCCATTGGGGAGAGTTTCCCTCCCTTTCTATGGCACCATAAAAGAAATGGAGAGTCAGGTTTTAGTCAGGTTTTTTTTTTGTTAAAGGTAAAGGAAGAAATGAACAGCAATAGAACTGACAGAAGTTCAAATCCGTCCTCACTCTACTAACAATGTGCTTTTGTTTCTGTCTTTGTCCTAGTTTTAGAGATTTTGCATTATTTCGTGCACTGACAGACGGCAAGGGTAAGGGTAAATCTCCCCACCAGGGACACAGATGGCAATAAAACCTGACAGAGGTTCTAACCCTTTGCCTCATTGTTCAAAACAAACAAGAGCCCAAAAGTTGCAAGAGAGAGAGGAGGGGACCAGGCGGCATACTTTATTCCGCCAGGTGAAAGTCCCCTCCTCTCTCTGCCAGAGTCCATCACCAAAATGGTAGGACGCAGCAGGTAACCGCACGTGACATCATCACGCACGTGTGCCTGATGACATCGCATGTGCGTGATGACATCATGGCAGGTGACACACCACCTCGGGAACGCCCCTGGGATACTCCCTAAACAAAGGATGCTGACTATATTCAGAGGATGCAAAAGCTAATTTCAGTGACTTGGCTGAGAAGGTGACCTGGTTTACAAAAGATGATTTCTAACACAACTTACTCTTAATTGGTGGAGGATGATAAGTTTGTTATATTCTGTTGTTAAAATATTGAAATTCAGTATTGGAAAAAATCTTATTTCATACATAATAATTAAAGCATATTATATACCTCATGTACTCCTGATCCTAGAAGGTATACTTGGCTTTCTTGGTTATAGCGAATTCGCACGTTGTAGACTTTATTTCTATATAGTACCATAAGAACATATGGCTGTGAAACTGATGTCTGTGAGCAGTTTCGTACTAGAAATGTACCATCCTGTGAAAAAAAAAAATATATGTGGTAGACTTATCAATGTTTCAAAACCTTTACGAATCTTTTTAAATAGTTTCCCTTCCTGTCCTTTGTTTGGAGCAAGAGACACACTCTTCTACACTACAGCCTCCCTAGCCTCTCTCAGCCAAGCCTGCATATCCTGGCAATGGAGACGATACCCCCTTCCAGTCCTATTGGCCAGCAGTGGCACAGCCCTCATACAGTCTCTGAGGCCCAGATTGCTGGGATTGTGATTGCTTCCTGCTACCTTGCTCCTGTACCAAATGTTTTGCTAGTCTGTCTTTTGAACTCCATGGTGTGGCTTCAGAACAGTCTCTGAAACTCACAGTGCCAGCTGCCTTCCATGTTCTTGGAACTGCCACTGAAACTTGCTTTACCCTAACCTCGGAACTGTCTCTGGAACACGCTTTGCATGCCACCAGCCCTGATCTCCCATGACAAGATTTATCAAGCAAAGTCTTTCCTCATTTGTGCTAATGAGGTAGTTTATGAGTCAAGACAATAGCAACAATAAGCATCCTAACTAAATTATTTTTAGCCATTGCCACACGGTTGTGATAGAGGGATCCCTTTTAAAGGAGATGACACAGGGTCTGAAAAGACAGTTTATGTGGACAATCCATGTGGATGACTTCTTATATCTTGCCATCCATTCCCACCCAATACTCCATTACATGTAAGATTTAACAGGAGGGGACCAGTATTAGTATTAACAGATTATTAGCCCTTTTCCTTTAGTTCTTTAGAGACAGCTATCTACAAGACACTATGGTGCAACTTGAATTAAGTTAGTTTTTAGCTAAACAGTACACGATGGAGTCTGCTTTGATGTCCTTTGTTATTTTCTGATGGCAAGCTATCAACTTCAGTGAAGAAACATTTTGACTGTCGTTTTAAATTTATGGCTGGGGTTTCGTTACTATCTGAGAAACAAGGCACAGAGTGCAATGCGGTACACGGCTAGAGATCTAGGGTGCCTGGTGGAAAGTTTACTTTACTGGACAGTGTGCCAGCAATTTATATCTCAGTGTGTTTTTAAGGCTTGTTCCCTTTCCTCTTGGTCCCTGCACTATCGGTTCTCTCTGTTGATTTGTGGATTTTCCAGTTAAAATAGGAACATTGTTCTGAGGAAGTAGAGGTGAAGGTGTAGTGGTCTCAGTGTCTCAGTGAGGTGAACATGAACCCAAGAGGAGCGGGCTCCTTGTTGCTCCCCAACATGTGATCCAGACAACTCACAATGCAGAGACTGTTTGGTGGCCCCCTGTACTAGGTGGCAGCATGGCATCTTCAACAGTGGTCTCAAATACACCCCTCAACCCCCCCCCCCGCACCCCAGCCTTTAGTAACAAATACACACA